TAGGTAGTGACATGTATATATATATATATATATATATAACAAAAAACGTAAAATCATTTTTGTTTTTCTATATTTATATTGTTTATATATACATATATATATCTTTATATATATATATATATATTATTAGAAATTCAATTAAATATATATCAATACATTAATATTCACGCACACACACACACTTGTATATATATATATATATGTATATGTATTGACGTGTACATGTACAGATACGTATTCATATACATATATATATATGTATATATATATATCTATATATATGTATGTATGTCTGTATATATATGGATATTTATATGTATATACATATTATGTACAAATGTACATACATATACCTTTATATGTATGTATTCAATTTAAGGTTTATCGCATGAACCCTCGTTGGTACGTTGATTTTGTTTGTTTTTTCTCATCTCATAAATATTGGTGGGTGGGTGCCTAAATGGTTCTGTCCTTTTCTTTTGATCATGTGGAGAGTTTCACCTCAGTGCGAGCTTATCAAGAGGAAAGGCCCATAGAAACATACGCAGTCATCTATTTATACAGTCTCCTTTCTACATTTTATGAGTGCAAGTGCATAACTGCCTGTTTTTTAAGTATCCATACAACCCTACGCCAAGATTCAACTGCTACGAGAATGCCTTCTTTATCGCTTATACGAATCGGGCTGTTTACCTTTCCGCACAACTTAGGGTGCCTCTGAGGTGTTGTCGGATCGTATGTGTATGGCTGGTGTTGATGTTATACTCTCTCCCGAGTGGCTCCTGGAATGTGACACCATGGACATGGGCTGTAACGGCGGTAGACTGAATACTGTCTGGCTCTACATGAAAGAGTTTGGTACGTTCCTGTTTACAGCTAAGAGGAGGATTTTCAGCACATTTCTGCGTTTCCACCACCTTTAAACTTAGGCGTTACACCAACTCATGTCGCGGTTTCGTATCAATATTGTATCCATAGGTATCCCAGCGGACAAATGCGCGCCATACGTATCTGGTGTCTCGGCTGTAGTGCCCGAGTGCTCTGACACGTGCGCGAACGGAAAGGAGCCCAAGAAGTACAAAGCAGAGACGGCGTACTCAGTGGTCAACTGGCTGGACTCTCCCGAGGATCGTGTTCACAAAATTAAGATGGACATTCTAAGAAATGGTCCTGTCGAGGCTGCCTTCTGTAAGTCGGAACATTTATTTGTTATTTTCCGGACCCCCCCCCCCCCCCAAAGGTTTAATAGCAATTTTCGTTACCCAGTTTGAGTATTTTGGATGTTGTTTGGCCGTTGTTGATCTCTACTCAAGGTTCCTCGCTTCGAACATCCACGGCTGGATGTCCTATTTACAGGTTGTTAACATATCTGACCTGTATATCTTGTCCGCTCACGTTATTCACAGGGGTTTTCGCCGATTTCATGGCATACAAAGGTGGTGTATACAAGCACATGACGGGAGGTATGATGGGAGGGCACGCAGTCAAGATTGTGGGTTGGGGAGAGGAGAAGGGTGCAGATGGCAAGACGACTCCCTACTGGACTGTGGCCAATTCTTGGGGTATGTACTGTGGAACCTATTGTCACGATGGTCAACAGTCATTGATTTATCTAGTTAGTTCATGGTGAGAATTTTTATATTGTTCAGAAGGTGCTTTTTCATATAAGATAATTTGATTCTTGTCTATCCATCTTCGAATTGACTTAGCGTGAGTGGATAATTTCTTTGCTTGAATTTTCGTCTTCTGATATCGCTGGGACATCCATTCAAATATAGGTGGTGCCTGGGGAGAGGATGGGTTCTTCCGGATTGAAGCTGGAGCTAACCAGTGTAACATCGAGATGAATATCTGGGCAGGTCTACCCGACTACAAGAACGCCCCCGTCGACGATGACGAGTAATCGTTAAAAAGTTATATAATATCAATTTACACCTGTATAGTATGGTGTGTGACGGGTTTAGTAGTCTACTAGTAGTGTACTTACGATTAATAAACAAACAAAAATGTATTTGACATGTAAGCCTCGGGACCTGAGCACACAACTATAGAATATTGGATATACGAAGGTAGTTATGCGAATTTGTCTGGTTTTAATTTCAATTGAGGTAGATTTCTTGGCGCAATACATACGAACTGTTATATATCCGGAGATTTACCACAGGCCTCTCGATTGTCTCGGGCATAGTTAGCTTGCTTAATACAGTCGAAATTGAGTGTTGAAGTTCTGCTGGGGTGTATTTGGCGTTGACCTAAGCGTCGATTGGCTGTAGCTTCAATTCGCCGATTTCGCTGACAATGTACCGGTCCGATTTATACTCGGATCTATAGAGGCACTGTTCTCTATTGCATATAAATTGGCCCTCTGTATGAGGCCAAATTGTATCTGCGTGCCTGCTTAAATTTCCATTTGTATTGATTTTTCTCATCATAGCCATCTCGGGGGTGTCCGACAGCTTCTCTATGGTCACTAGCCTACCATAATCTGTCAGTTCGTAGTCACTTGCTGCAAAGTGGTACCCTAGGCTATATGTAGTGAAACTACCACTCTCGGTGCCACGGACCGGGCGCTGATGCATATGCTTTCTTAAATTCAAGTGGAGATAAGACAGCTTTCGCAGGCTTCGCACAGGATACTCACGCTATGTGAAGCTCCAATTTAGTGCAAAACGGTTGAAGCTCTCTGCCTTGCCAATTCTGGCACCAGTCCTATTCTGGCGTCGAGGTCTCTCGCCCGCTTTGATACCATCCGCCGATTGCAATTGCAGTATGATAAACACACAACGTAAAGCGAAGCATCTCGCTTTTCGAGAATCATGGTTAACAGTGACCTCATCCATACAGTATACACAAGTTAGTGTTGCAATTCATCTAATAGAGTACATGTGTAAGATAGTGTGTTTTTTGTATAGAGCGTCGTGCAAATGCACTCTCCTCCACAGGTCTATGTGAACGATACGCACAAAGCATAAGTGCGTATACATTTCCAATTATCTGTATAGCACTTCGCTGCTCAATCATCTGCCCCTCCCACGACCAGCCATCCCTCTGCCACGCCCCCTTCCCCTTCCTCTGCCCCTGCTACCACCCACACTATTATTGGGTCCACCAATGCTCTGTGGCTTGCTGATTGAGCCAGGTTTTGCCTTATTTCTTTCGCCGCGTATGAAATTGCGTTTTTGCCCTCTGGTGCCCCTCGTTTGCTTTATCTGCTCGCGTGCGGGACCGTGACAGAGTTAGAATTTCTACACATAGCGTTAAGTTATATCTATAATCTATCTACAACTAGTAAGAAATGTAATGGACGCTTGGCAATGTTACAGATACACATTGAAAAGCTTTAAAATACTCAAGTCATAAATGGGTCAAAACGGTAACCGGGGTCAAATAAACTACCATTCAAGAAAACGATCATGAACCAAAAACTATGCATACGCACACATCCCCGTCCAGATACTCTATAAAAGTGCAGCACCAGGAAACTGTACTTGTTCAAACCCACTTGGCCGTATATCAGGTGACCTTCTCTATCATAGGATAATGACATCGTGTTTTCGTATATAGGAATAGCTAGATATACGTTGCAAGATAAATGAACTAGCAAGCTTACACTCGAAGAAACAAACAATTAATCGATTTGAACCGGTTTTCGTGGTTAACTTACATGATTGTGAATTACGGTCAGTGCGTCCATATCCGGTGGCACAGGAACACTCCGAATGTATTTGCCTTTTGTAAATAGGAACGGCAGGCGGATTACTTCACCCTAATTATAATAATAAAAAATTCAGAACCAAATGAATATTCGACGTGACATTTGTGGAGATGGAAGCGCCTCGAGAGCTTTTCTCTTCTAATCTAGTGTTATAAATAGACCTGCATGCTTGAATATTCTACCACGTCACGAAATCTTGTGTATGGCTGTGAAGGATAGAAACCCATACACCCGGGAGAAGACTGTTTGCGCAGAAACGTACAACTTGGCGTGTGTGATGTTTGAGCATGCACACCAGCACGATGAACTAACACACACGAAGTAAAATTGTAGCAGTAATTGATCACAAATCTGAAAACTGGTTTATAGTGCGCGGTTTTCTTTGATACTTCCGGTCTCCTTATAGCGAGCGATAATTGTCTGAAGTTGGTATTTCTAGCCCTCCATTGGTGCCAACAGGTCGATGGAAAATTCCCGTACCCTAACTCTATATAAATAAAACCTTAACAGTCACATATTTTCATGCTGATATAACGTATATATGGGAATGATTCATATATAAAGGCGTGTATCCTTCCAAAATCGTTTCTGTATATGCACCACACCTCAAATTAGTATGTAGTCCTTAAGATGATACACGCACGCTGAGGCAAGTGGAGTATGGTGAAGAAGCAATAACTTATCTGACACTGCACAACATAGTTTTCCACGGACGACCTACCTTGTTGTTGATCAGGACCACGTCCTTCATCATAGTGCTACGTACAAAACAACCCGAGGATAAGGAGTGTATAGTTAGCTCAAACAACCGTAAAACCCTCATGGTTCTAGAAACATTACTGGAGACTCCTTCGTATACACGGGGGGAACAGACTCATCGGAGGAAAAAAAATCGATCGTTCAAAGATGCAAACACTGAACGCACTAGTGACTGGATACGACAAATGAAAGATATGTGATGTTTAACTGTACCATATGTAATGTGTAAACATATCTAAAGGTAGCCATATATATATTTTATATA